CCTACGAAGGTATCGGGTTGGTGTATGATAACATGGGCGAGTACTCGGAAGCACTCTCGTTTCTACAAAAAGCACATGATATACGTGAAAAGTCTCTCCCACCACAGCATCCAAAGATTACAAAGTCAAAAAATAACATTGAACGAGTGAAAAAGAAAACGTAATTGTTTTTTTTTCGTTTTTAAAGAGAAAATAAACTGGCCATCTTGAAATCTAAGCTCGCCGAAGAAAGCAGCTGCAAAATTTCGCGCACGCGCGACCAGCGATACCCTCCGTATTCTGGTGGCTCGTACAGTGGACAAAGCCGGCAATGGTTAGGCAAACATACATCGATGTATGTATGACTAGTACGACCATGATCATCATCGAAAAGACGATGACGAAATGGACGCTTCTATTCATACATACATTGATGTATGCTATGAAGGCCTACCATCTGCACGCCAGGACGGGTCACCAACAGAACGTCGGATATCCCTGGGAAGGTTCATTTGTTTTAGAGCCACCCTCACAAGCTCCATTAGTTAGAAAATTATTTTTGTTCTTCTGTTATGAAGAACGAGAAGAAGTAGAAACGGAAGAAAGAAAAGGTATGAAAACGGAAAGACGCGATGAAAGACGACGTCGACGTAACGAAATGATAATACGCAGCGCATGATATCAACCGGTGTTTATCAAGCAATGGAATATTCAGTGCACGATATCTTTGTCGTCTTTGAACATTTCATGTTCAATTCGTCTGTGTTTCATCTGGAATGTGTAAGAATAACTTGAATGTCGTGCACTTGCCATTCTTGCAAACAAACGATGATTGAATGAAGCGGCGGATAAAAACAATACATTCGCCGTCAATTTCAGTAATAACTCAGGCACTGCATATCTTAAAATAGAGATAAAGAATAGAAAAAAAGCAAAGTTTTAAGTATATATTTTTTTACACTTTATTAAGATATGTGATGGTTACGTTAACATTGATGCTCAAAAACAACAAAAGTTGTTCGCAAGATACTTATCAGCCTTTTTGCTTTTTTAATGAGCACTAATATTAATATCTCGTAAGAAAATAAAAAGAATAAATATTTTTCTTTATATATTCATGAAACAATGCTTAATAAAGACAAATTATATAGATTAATGAGTCTAATTAATCGTATATCTTTTCAAATAAATAAAATAATTGTAAATGCTTATTTAAAATTAAAAAAGAAACTTTTATTAGATAAGGAAAATCTAATTAACAAATTTCATAGATATTTTATGTGAATAATTGAATTTCTATTTCAAAAAAATTTGCTCTTTAACTTCAACAAACTTACGAACAAAATATTTTTTTATTGAAAATGATCAATAATTCGATCTTATTGCTACTTTTATTCAGGATTATGAAATCATTTTTCACATTTTGTTTCGATTAACATTAACATATTTTTTTTTTGAAGCTTACAATTGAATATTACAACTATGGTTTTGATCGAGTTTAATTTTTAATAGTTATTTGCTATATTCACAATAAGATGTTAATTTCAGTTCTAAAATAAAATTTGAATTAAAAAATTAAATGATCAGTTGATTAAGATATATTTGACATTGATAATTTAAGTAATTCAAGAAAAAAACTTTTATTTTCTCTCTAAATATTATCTTTGAATGATATTAAGATCAATGTTGATCGACGTGATACTTCAATTTTAATGTATTTTATTTGATAAGTTTTTTATTTAGGTTTAACAACTTGACCAACACTTTGCTTGTGTTTTGATTGATTTTTATAAAATAAAACATTAAAAACCATTGTTTGTTTATAGAATTTGAAGGTTAAGAAGTAAACATAATTTTATTCTGTATCACACTCACACCCTGTAAAATTCATCCTTGACTTCTGATGACCTTAATCAACGATATCGTTTAAGTTTTTGAGTTAAACCTAATAGCTAACTTCTGGCTAAGAAAAAGGAGACATTTCTGTATTTTCAATAACTAATCTGACACTTTGTACTGTAAGATGATTTCTAAAACAAATCGTTTTCGTAAAACATTTCAAAGAAAAACCTAACGATATTCCACTTTGATGTAGGTTTGATTTTTAACACCTGCTTCAATTTCACAGTTCTAGGTACGGTTCAGATGATTAGTTTCTCACTATTTTCTCTTCATCAAAATCTACTTGAAAATAAATAACGTCTTCATATATGTATTCGAATGTTTTACAAGGAGTATAGATTTTAAAATAATTTTCTCTTGAATACTATCAGATGAAAAGACTTCTAATAGAGTTCTCTTTGTTCAATGGTTGTGAAAGGCACAAGCAACTGGCTATTGCTGTTGTCAAGTCATTGAGATTACACTGAAAAGTTAGATTCTTCAACAATGATAATAATATAACTATTTTTTTGCCAAGTAAACGACAGAAAATTGATAAAATGATTTTCTTTTCGTTGAATAAATTCCAATTTTTTACATAACTTCAACAGAGAAATAATATCATACTATCTTCTGGATTAAAAATTAAATTATTTATTTTGTATTTGTTTCAGTCAGATAAACCTAAAATGAAATAAAGACATTGATTTTTTATGACGATTTACATACAGTATCTAGAAACGTATCTGACAAAACTTAAACCTTATGTCCTTTGAGGTTTTGTTTGTTCTTGTTATCGGTGTTTTTTTAATTTGGTTTTCGTCTCTGATAAAAGAAAATTTCCTATACCAAGAATATGAAACATCCTTGAGAAATCGGTGACAAACGAAAGAAAAAAAGAATGTATGCTTTTGTTTTGTTCTTCAATAAGCACGTTTTTTGTTGTTTTGATGACGGTTTTTTTCAAGTTTTTTTCTTTCTTTTCATGTTGTGGAGTTCTGTTTTTAGAATCTAATCTGGAAAAAGAATTTGATCGAATCATGACATTCTAAAAGCACGAAAGACAAAAAAAAATTTCTATCAGTGAAAGCACTAATACAACGAATAAATTCATCATGACTTAGTTTTGTTTCGATCATAGTGAAGTCAGTCGGAGTCGGGACAAGTTCAAATATGTGGATAGCTTTTATAGAATTGAATATAGATTTAAATCACCATTTCCTTTTTTTAAATATACTCATGATGATAGCAGATACATATTTACATCAACATCAATAATGATTCTTTTTGAAAATGGTATTTCAAAAGCAGAAAATTTTGTTTGCGTCTATAATCGGTTCTTGCTTTTGAAATTTTTAAATAACACTTTCTATTACTATGTTCGCCGTATAGATCTATCGATCAATTCAACAAAAGAAAAAAAGACAATTTCGTTCCAATAAAAAAAACGTTCTTGTTGCATAAATCACTTTTTAGAATTAGTGATTTTTATTTAATATCATCGTATATATGATGTATTAAATCACGTCATTCTTTCTAAGATACCTCAGACCATAAAAGAAATTTCGGTCGAACCAAAAAAAACAAATGTTTCTTATGTAATAGATGAAATGGACATAGTATTCAAGTTAATATTTAAAATATAGGAGTTTGATAAATATTAATACAAACAATCATACGAGTTTTTCGAAAACAACATGCATACGACGTATTCTTGTTAAATTGAATTTTTTCCATAATCTCAAAAACTATCAATTGTTGCTGAAGACCCATAAATACACTTGAATTTTGGACATCATCTGCTTTTCATTAAAATGAATATTGTTCCCAATCTTCAGATAAAATCTCAATCAATGATGAACAAGCAGATTACTAATTGAAATAGACATTATTATGATACGTAATTTCTGATTATTTTTATCGTTTACATGACTACATGAGTATTCTGACAACGCATGGAACTGTTTTTATTTACTTATGCATATGTCAATTATGATAGAGTTGAAATGTTGAAGAAAACATATTGTACGTGTATCAGGACACGATATATTCTTCATCTGTACACATATCTGTTTCATTATATTCATTTTTAACACAATATGTGATGGACGGTTCCACGTTCATATCTCTCGTTTTTCAACTATAATGTATAAGGACGATTCATATGTCATGTGCTTGTTACCGGATCATAGGAGAAAGAAACGTTGTCTGAGGAGATGATTGCTGCCTCTGTAAACATAAAAGAAATACATTAAAATTGAAGGAAAAACGAAATAGATAATACACTTAAATTCACGCCCTCATTTTATCAGTTTTTCTATCTAAACTTTAAACGAAAAAAAGATGCCAATAGCAACTATAGATAAATAATTTTTATTTATTATCTTTTTTTATATGCAGGATTTTGAAATTTTTTGTAGGAAGAAATACTGAAAGAGATTTTCAAATATACTTCGTGAAATTGTTTTGAAACTTTATGTTGATAATCGTTGAAGTGAAAAATTTATCTATGAATCGAAAGATAATGTTTCATGTTGTTGATCTTGATATAAAAACTCAAGATTTTTTAATAGAAGCTTCTCGTTGCATTAGAAAAACTAATTGATTGAACTCATTATCAAAATCTAAAAGATCATCTTTTACTATGAGAATTCACTTTCAGTTGAAATATGTTTCATATATTAAAATAGTTCTACTCATGAAACTTTGTTTCATCCTCCTATATTAATCATTTTTGTTGTTGTTGATGAAAAAGCTTCGTAATATCTGAGAAAAGTTTTTCTAGGATAAGACAATATCCTCTTGATCTCAGTATGAATGATAATTGCATAAAATTAGAAATATTTTCGATAGTAAGCGTGTTCTGTAGATATCGCAAATTTTTTTTGTAAAATAGACACAAAAAATTATCAATGACATGTATTTAATTACATTAGTAATTTCTAAGAAATACTAATGAATATGATAAAAAAGGGCATGCTGAGGTACATACTTCAGAACCATGAATTCCACTGAAAGTATACAGCTGACAATGCAGTATATATGATTTCTTTTCTTAGTTTTCGAGATCTCTCTATAGACAAAAACCTATTCATTTAATACATTTTAAATAGACAGTTGTAGTGTTAAAGAAGTAATATATCTAGATTCTGTGAGTAGTTTTCCGTAGTCGATTGCATTTAAGATACCAATATCAAAATATACATAATTTGAACGTAATTTGAAGTAATGGGTAAAGAGAAGAAGAATGCCGTGCTTTGTCATTCAATGATAACTGTTTCCTTCGAAATTTATCAACAAATTGTTTGTTACGATTATCCAGTGAAATACTTTAGGTGTTGACATCATTTGAATCATCAGAATGAAGGAAATACAAGAAAGAATAGAATTGTTTTGCTTTATTGAAAATCTTAAATTGTAAAAGATATTCTTAATAATATGTGTTCAGTTTAATTGATATCTCATGAATGTTTTCATATTGATCAATGAAATAGATAATTCTTGTTAATTACCTAAAAACTTACTCTCTATGACATTACATTATAAACTCAGAGTGGAGCATTATTTTCCATAGATGTCAACTTGAGAGACGATGACAATAAATCCAAGTGAAAAATAAACATGTGAATTTAATAGTTGATCATAGTACTCAACGATTGTGCATTTTTTTCATTGAATTCGTAGTTTTAGTTTGAGACGATTACAAGTAACTTGCGCCTGAATTATTGATTGTAGGATGAATATATAACGAATTATTTTTTTGTTTTTTATACGAATTGTCGATCAGATAAAAGAACCTCTTTTTTCATACTATTTAGCTTTCATTAATAAAATTATTTCAATACTTTTTTGTTTTTTCATCTATTCAAATCTTTTGTCAAACTATTATAAGTTTAGTATTTATTTCGATTGGATGCGGGCATTGAAAATAAGGTGATATTTGCAGATACAGGATTTGTTGTGGTTTCTCTTGAACATTTATATGAATACCTTTTTGAATCTCATTAAGTGTCAGAATAGATGTTTGTCCATTGTTAAATATTTTTTCAGACATATTTTGAAATGAAAATTGTGTGACATAATCTCATTATAAGAATGAAAAGCATTCGCATTTAACGATAGGATATTTTGTTTCACATATTACAAGAGAAATAGTTAATATAACACTTGAGGAAAACAATATCACGAGTATAGGCCAATCTTCAAGTTGTAGAAAAGCTCGAAAGTCATGATAAAACTGAAAATGTTTTCCTTCGTCTCTTTAAGATCTAGTATGTGGGTGTGGATGTGCTTGAAGGGGCGAACAGTACCCACACCCCAAAATTCTCTCGATTGACAAATCATAGAAAAGAGAAGTACATCGATATGCATACTTCAAACTCTCACCCACACGTATGTCTATGGTTGAAATTAAAAAGCATACTCAAATCTCTATGATAATAATTGAAAGAATTCAATTATTTTCCATTTGAACTCATTCCATCAATTCATCGAATGGAACGATCATTTCTTTCGAAATTTTCAAGCCTTAGTAAGTTACTAATAAGAAATTTTGAAGAATTAAAAATGTAATACATCCAATTAAAAGTTTGAAATTGACGTAAATTTTGTTACAATTGATTATTTCTTGTTTTTAATCATTAAACTTGAAGACAATATGCTTTATTCTAGACAAAAGTAAGTATGAGATAGAATAATTAAAAATGATTATGTAGTTTCTTTCATTTGATATAAAATTGAATAATTTCATTTATTAAAAAGTAATGCCAACTCTAAAGAAAGAAAATGTTTGAAATTGTTTAATTCAGTGCATTCTACATCGAAATCGAAAACAGACAGCAAGAATATATTATTTTAATATAAAGAAACATACGATGTCGATTGACATTTACCATTTAGAGATTTACGAATCTAAAGTAACAGCTTATTATAATATTAATAATTTCGAAAAGAAACACCATGAAACTTTTCAGCGTTTTAATATGTGTTTTGTGACAATGAAAGTTAAAATAACATTTGATTTTGTAAACATCTCTATCAATGTAATCCTAAAAAACGAACATCGTTTCTTAGTTTTTCATGATCATGATCAATAACTACTATAAAGTCGCCAATGATGACAAAAATCTTTCAAATTTTCAATAATTGTAAATGATTTAGGCTATTTGGATCAAACAATAAGATTGACTTCTTTTTTTTAGGTATGTACTCTGTGTCTAACTTAGATATTCAATTTTTAATCGTTTACATTCTGAATAAATAAGCCTCTTTTTGTGAGAATAAAATCTTTTGTTGAAGTGTGAGATTTTGAAAGGTAAGGTTCATTTGTTAGCAGATGCTCCATTCCGTTCGTTGGATCTTCAAAGTTCTCAAAGAGAAAATTTATTCGTACGACTATTCCAACATTACTGTTCAACCGTTTTTTTTAAGTGATTGTAATGTTTATTATCTAATTTCTAAAGACATTCAACTTAAGTATTTTAAATATTTTATAGCATTAAATTGATATAGGTTAGTGAGTGAATAATAGATGAGCTAAAAAAATGAGTCTCTCAGTACTTCGACTATAACTTGTCCTTTTCAACCTTCAGATTTGTTTGTTTTTCCAGTAAATGTCAAGTCAAATTCTCTATAAAAGGATTGATCAGATATATTTCTATGAAGTTTTATGAAGAAAAACTAAGCGAAGAATTGTTAACGAGTAAAACTAAGCTCAGTGAATGAATACGAAATTGATCTTATAGACCTGCATCGAATTTCTGGAATTTTTGAATTCAGCAAAAAAAAAGAGATTGAACACTAACAGATTTGCGCCATTTAGAACACATAGAGCTCAACGTATTCAAAAATATCTTTAACACATTAGTTTTGTTATCTATAGAATAACAGAAATCAATCGAATCAAGTTTTTATAGAGATACTAATTTAAATTTCTTCTTCTCTGAATTCATATTTATAATTAACATAGAAATGAAATGATTTAATAGCTAATGATAAAAAGCCATGACAACAATGAAGGCTCAAAACTGTTTATTTTCATGTACTTGAGAAAGAAAAAAAATCATTTACAAACAAATATTATTTATCTAGTGCATCTTCCATTTCGAATGAATTATTAATTTGATCATCTAGATTTGTTTCTATAATCTCTAGTATCAAAGCGATAAAATAGAACATCGGTCTATAGATGATTTTATTTTCATTTTTGTTCAATTTTTGATTTTGAATTCAGTTATTTAATATTCATGTTGATTTTTAGACCTTCTTAAATAGAAAAAAACTTACCTTAACTATTAAAATATTAAATTTGTTTGTGATTAGAAAAGGAAAACTGCATGAATCATATCACTTTCATTACAAATTCCATGATCAATAAAAAAAACATAAAAAAGACGAAATTCTTTCAATACAATAAGAAAAATTGAATTTTTCTTTCTGTAGCATAGCACAAGACAATAGTTTATCAAAGTATTTAGAAGAAAGATATTTGTTTAGTCTAGTCTTTATCAATCATCTGAAAATTCGAACAAAGTTAACAAAAGCATTAAACTGATCTTGTTTTTATTATATGTTTCGTATATAACGGGTGGGGCATAAAGAACCGACCTCTGTGTATTTTTAAGATTTCTCCACTATTATCCCTGTGATTCAAACACCTTTTTTTATCAAAAGATAGCGCTTGAAATTCTCTACAAAACCACATATGACTAGACCTTAAAACTATTTTAGATATATCTGAGAAAAGATGAAAAATGAAGACACACAAAAAGCTGTAAAAAATAACGGGTTGTACATAATGAAGGATCACGCTTTGTATCTAATGTTTTCATCACTTCGTCCTATTAAAAAACCAAAATTAATCAAGAGATGCAGTGTGAAAAGATCTACAATTTATATAAGACCACCTATTTTATAATTGCACTTTTTGTCTTCAAAATGGACAAAATTTTGAGCGATCAAATTTCGACCGTGCGAAAATGATATTTCTTTTAGTACAAGATAAATTCGTTTTTTCTTATTTCATCTTCTTATTACCTGATATGTTTTATTCAAAAAAATAATAAAATACACCACAAGATGCAGCGTGAAAAACTCTACAATTTACAAAGAACAAATTATAAAAAAGAGAAAATAAGAAAAAAAGAATCCATCTTGTACTAAAAAAAATATCATTTTCGCACGGTCGAAATTCGATTGCTCAAAATTTTGTCCATTTTGAAAACAAAAAGTGCGACTATAAAATAGCAGATCTTGTGTAAATTGTAGAGCTGTTCACGCTGCATCTTTTGGTATACTTTATTTATCTAACAGGGCGAAGTAAGTGCTGAAAAAATAGGATGCAAAGCGTGGCCATTCATTAATGTACAACCCGTTACTTTTTACCGCTTTTTGTGTGTCTTCATTTTTCATCTTTTCTCAGATATATCTAAAATAGTTTTAAGGTCGAGTCATATGTGGTTTTGTAGAGAATTTCAAGCGCTATCTTTTAATAAAAAAAGGTGTTTGAATCACAGGGATAATAGTGGAGAAATCTTAAAAATACACAGAGGTCGGTTCTTTATGCCCCACCCGTTATATTAATAAATAAAAATTAGCATTCATCTGGTTGTTATTTGCAGTTAACTGATATGTTAAATATTAATAGAATAATAAGTCTAGGATTGATAGTAATGTTTATCTCAATTGAGTGACAATTTTCTTTTCAGACAACGTAGAAGACGACTACAAATTAATAAAGAGATGTCAAATTGAAGAAGAGAATATTTGCAAGAGACTTGCATTGCAATCATTCAGATGAATTCCTGCTTTAATGGCGAACGTTAAAACAATATGTACTTGTAAATGAATATTCTACTACATGGAATATATAAGACTGAATAATGGGATATCTAATTAATTGATTATTCCTTAATAAACATGAAAATTCATTTTCTAAGAATTCGACAAAGGTAATTAAATTTTTCTTTTTCCCAGGCAAAAAAAAAGATTCTATAAGAAAAACGTAGTCAACCAACATTTTTATCGGTTTAAAATACGGCGGTATGCGACTATGTTTATGATTCTCGATGAAAGGGTGTGTTATCTCAACGAACACAATATAGAATCGATAGAGTAATGTTTTGTTATTAGAATATAAAAGATGAGAGAGACTTAGAAACATATGTCTGGCTTAATAAAATTTGAAAGGTTATCATAGATCCATTACTATTGTACGAATTTTCAGTTTACATAAAAGGGAATATTATAGATTTGAAAAATTTACTCTCTAAAAACAAAAATATCTCCTATCTAATACAAATAGAATGAATGTGTTAATATTTCTTGGTTGTTTTTATCTTCTGTTGCTTGCTGGCTATAAAAGGATAATATTATATATATATAATAACTTGGACCTTCGTTTGAACCATTAATAAACATGATGAACACTCGTACTTAGTAATTATTGTCACAAGATTACATATAAATATTAGTCGATATAATATTGTTCGGAGAAAAAATATCTGTAATTTAAATAATCGATACGTTGATCTCAATTTCTTTTCTATCTGGCTTATATATTATATCTCTTAAGAAAAATTATTAGTGGTAATACAATAAAAATATTTAATATCGGCATAACTTACATCAACACCTCCCTCTTGTCATTAATCGGCTGTGAAGATAATATTACCAAAAAAAAAGGAAAATGAACTACATTTTTAATCACTTCTTTTTATTTTTTTGCACATCTCTGTTCATGTTAAGGTATCTTTATATTTATCGTGATGATAGAGAAATCTTTGTATTTCTGTTTGCATATGCTGATTTCGCTCAAACTATACAAATCAATAGTTTATGAATCAAAGCTAAGAAAATTTCATTTATATTTTTTATACTTGTAATAATCTCAATGAAAGATTGGAGGTAGATAAAATTATAAATAAATAATATGATGAAATAATCAGTGAATCTTAATGAATCGGTTTAATTGATTAGCTCTACGAAACTGTACTTCAATTTTACAAAGAATTTTTCTTAATAATAATATTGTGAAAGAAATAACAGTGGTGTTACAACGAATTTAGGGTGCGGATGCAGATGTGAGTGTGGGTGTGATTGACAGGTATGTTTGTAGAGAATAACAATGCTCAAAGCCACACTCCACACTCACACTCTCAAGTTTGTGGATCAATTTTTCCAAGCATTTTAATAACAACATTTAAAGTTGATTATAAACAATCTTTATGTATAACTGAATAACAATTATTAATAAATTCAAGTATAAAGATAAAATTTCAAAAACTTATAATTTGTTCAGCTAAATCTTTATTTGTATGATCTTTGCTATCAACAATGTGAAGTTATTTTTTTTTTGCACAATCAACAGACACATTAAGAAAATATGTTAAAGTACGTACTGTTGTTACTTCAAGAACATGTGTTGGAATTAATGGATCATTGAATGTATCACAGAGAGCTGAAAGAAAATTAAGATAAGAATTTAGATAACCTTTTTTACTTAAAAATTGATCAGGAAGGAAAAATTGAGATTTGTACCTAGAAAAAAACATATAATCAAAGCAAAACGAAAAAGATAAATAAATATCTTTTAATCAATACATACTGTTCAAAATATTGATCGATATTATTATTCATCAAGATTAGCATATCTAAAGAGAAAAAATATTCGAAAATAGAAAATTTTAATAATATATTTTATTTCTCTTTCATCAATTGAAAATATAACTAAATTGATATCACTGTAAAAATTAATCATCATAAATTCGATAATAAATATAACTTACATAATTGTTCAAGTGTAATCATTTGAAGATTACGTTCACTATTTTCATCTTCTTTATGTCATTTTAACAATAAATCTAGATCGGCTTCTATTATTCTAACTAATGTTACATTATAGATTACATTTTAAATTACAGTTGTATTATGAAATATGATCAGCTGTTTGTTCTCTCTCACTAACGTCTTGGCTTCGTTATGGTCCTACAATTTCTGTTTTTTTTTCAAATTATTTCTAGAACGTCTTATTTTTTCAAGATGACAAAGGTTCTTATGAAAATGATCACATATATTCAAGAAAAAAGGTACTTCGTACATTACATTTTCATCAGGATGACCATTTGTAATGTATTCGATTTTTTATTTTTCAAAGTTTTCACAGAAGATTACTGGATTTTACATCAAACATGCTCAACAATGAGTTCCGAAACATAAAGATAAAAATCTGACTCTTCCTTTGCATGTAGACACACAGCAGAAACTCAACAAAAAAGTTTTCTATTTTTTGATCAAATTTTTTTGAACAAAGAATTTTTAAACTAGTCCTATGAACTTTATATCAGATGAAAATGCTTATTAATAGATCAAATTTTTAATGGTGATTGCAAAAATCTAATTTAGCTGTCTCGAAAATTGTAAAAACATTCCTTTACCGACATATTAATGATCAATGTTTTGTCAAGTCTGACTTTTCAAGTAATTGCATATTTCTTAATAAAGATAGATTTTATTATATTATCTGATATTTTCTTCTAATGAACAACAGATGTCTCTACATCTTGAATGGAAAATCGATATGTATTATAAAAATGAATATTATTACGAGAAGTCTCAAAAAGTTAACTGATGAAATGTTTTATCATTCATCGTAAGTATTGTTCTGCCTAGTAAAATAGTTTTTAAGACCAATGGAAATATTTCAAATTACACACAACTACCAATCAGGTAAGTTTGAGACTGGACAATCATTATGCCATAGTAAAAAAAAGTTCGTTTCTTTCAAGAGTTTGTGTAGCTAATAAGTAATGTAATTTAATTTAATTTAGTATAATTTTGAGATAGTTTGTTTTTTTCGTTTCCGTCTATAAGATCTCATAGATAGTTAAATATGTTTTCAAGGTTAATAATCAATAGAAATCTTCAGCAAACATCTTTGCGTCTATTATCATCTTTATCGAAGAATTACATATGTGATTCGTCTGTTATCGAAGCTTATCATACAAATCCACAATTAAAATCAATTATTGATCGACAAGAACATCAATTCTATTATCATGTTGACAGTAAAATAAAACAGCAACTACCAGCTGTTTTCAAACAAATTCCAAGTAGTTCTCATTCTCTAACAAATTCATATTATCTCACTAAGTAAGTTCTCTTATTCTTATTAAACTTTAGTCATCGTCACGGAAGTTGAACATGCCGGAATCATTTTCTCATTTATTTTCCTGAGGCTACTGTTGTTTTTTATGTCATTTTATATAATATTTAACTTTAGCTCGACATATGAAAATAAAGCTGATAATACAACAACTAAGAAAATATCGATTGATGAATTTATCAACTTAACATGGTGGAATGATCGTAGCAAGGGTAAATTTCCAGGTGTAATTGGTATGGAAATTGTATCCATGTCTCATGGTTATGTTTCTTGTCAGCTTAAAATTCGTGAAGAACTTTTAGCACCGAATGGCTATCTACACGCTGGTGTTATTGTTACTTTAGCCGATACAGCGTGTGGTTATGGCTGTTTGAATTCGAAGCCATCTGAAGCTAAATCATTTACAACAATTGAATTAAAATCAAATTTTATGGGAACAGTAAAAGCTCAAGCTGTAGTGACATGTGAAGCTCGTTTAATTCATGAGGGAAAAACAACACAAATTTGGGATGCTGAAGTGATAGACCTCGAAAAGAACAAATTAATTGCAATTTTTAGATGCACAGAATTGATTTTATATTAACCCATCCATAACGATTATGTTGATTTATTTTGTAGTCATTTAAGATACCACTTTTTAAATCATAAATCAAAAAATAAATACACTCCAAAATAGTAAAATATGTTTTTAGGATATTTGTTTTCGTTTACGAGTAATAAATGATTCAAAATAAGAACCTATTTTTCAAACCTCTAGACTCAATTCATGCTTGATTTTAAGCAGTTGTATGGCTGAACATGTATTTTTTTTTATTTAAAAAAATGGTATCAGACATACTCGAAAACCAATGACATCGGTATATTTACTTTCTTTTTGTAAAATGACATTAATTTTTTTTCTTATTCTAATTGACCTATAAGATTATTTGCAGCCAGTGCTTTGAAATATGCTACTATTATCAGCATTGTAAAAGGCTTCATCTAGAAGAAAACTATAAATATTCTATTACAAAAACAAAAATATATCGATGATTTCTGATTTGTCAAAATATGTTTGAAGAGTGAAAAAATGAGTGTTTGATGGAATACATTTTCTAAATGCTAACAATTCGATCATTAGTGATAAGCTCGAAGATGAAACAAAAATACCAAAAAATAAATATACTTCCAATATTCAAATTATTTATTGCGTTCATTATACGTTTTTGAAAATCGGCTTCAATAGTTTTTCTTTTCTTTACTTTATAAAGGAACTGATCTTGTCTGAGATTTTTTGAATCAACATAAGGTCAAAAAAAAAACATATTGTACCCTCAGAGTCAAGAAAATATCATTTCTCTTAATCCTAAGATATTTTTATTGCAAATTAAGTGACTTATAACAATAAGTCGAGAACCTTATTAAAGCAATTTTTATGAGATTAAAATATGAGAACTTGATATAATTGCTGTTAGATATAGAAGACGATATTGAACAAATCGATTAAATCTGACTGTTGATGTTCTTGATTTTTCATTCGATTTAATAGAATAATTTATATTAATACTCTCCAATATTTCTAGCTTTCCTATTAACTTGTATCTTTCCTGTTCTATAACCCGCAAAACTATACTCGAGACTTCAATGTCAAAGTGAAATTTATCAGTTTCTGATTGAACATGACCAAGTTATCTGTGATGAGCCGTTGCTACAATACCTATGACGAACTGTGGTGTTTCAAATTTCTATTTGAACATTTCAACATTCCCTTTAGAAAATATTCTATAAACTTAATTTTAATCCAAAAGCTGTGCGTCTTAAAATGTCTATTTTCTAAAATAGATTGATTTTTCTTCTTTATTCTTCGAAATAATTCTTATTGAAAGTTAAAACAATAAGATTCGATCTAGATGTGCATGATCAACATGAACGAATAATATTTTCATACAATCTAGTAAAAATATTTTTTATTTGTAAAACTTAATAGACGAACAACACATTATTTAAACTGTCTTTAATATGTTTTTTTTTGTTAGTTAATTGCGTGCTTTACTTATTACTGTAAGAGGATAAATTGTATTATTGAGTTGTCTCTCCGATCGACAAAATATTCGTTTGATTTTTTCAATAAATTTTTCTCGAAAGAGTTTCGATGTTAAACAATGAATGTAAAAGTTATAACAATAATTCATATTTAAAAACACAGTCAATATTGCAATTTCAATTAATGTTTGTGAATTAATTTCAGATCGTTGATAAACAATTCGATGAATAGAATAAGACAACGTACAAATTGCAAAACATATTATACTTGAAACCATTAAGATAAACATTTGTTGCTCAAGTCTTTTTCTTCTTCTTGATCTTTCAAATTGCATTTGCTGTACATGTATTCGGATACGAATACAAATTACAGAAACAATCATTAAACAGCTTGGAATAAAATAAGTTATTAATAATTGAAGAATAGGCCAAGTATTAAAATAAAAAATTGAATAGAATATTAGCGCAGAACGACTTGGTCCACATAATTTACTAATTGAATTACTAAAACCAAAGTACGATTGAAGTACATGACTTGTGAATGCAGTTGAACATATACAAGTAATGCCAACAAACAAAGCAGCTAGCTTTTGTGTACATAATCGCTTTTGTTTATGTGGAAAACATACACGAATAAATCGATCCAAGCTGATGTAAAAGTTGAAAAATTGAGAATGAATGTACGAAATCGACAAAGATATACGCTTTTGAATGTTGGCACTCGCAAAACTTGATTAATAAAATCATGAATTGACATCAATTGATATAATATATCAGAAAGAGTTAAGAAAATAAAAAGAAATCCAGTAGATGTTACACGAAGAGCTTGAGATGAAAATGTTACCAGACTTAATGTATGCCCTATGAAACCTAAAGGAAATGTGAACATATAACCATAAAGGTCAATCTTTTGAGCAACTGGACTTTCCATTTGTTTTTGTGATTAGATGTGTTAATAAAAAATTTAAAATAGTAAAAAATGCTAAAAGTTTCTTCTATTTGCCTACAAAAACATTTGTCAAGGGTTGGAATACATTTAATGAATCAGCAATAATTTTTATATTCCATCAAAAATTTTTTGGATAAAATATTCAATTTCATTCGGAAAGAAAGAAAATGTTCGCTCATTTCTCGAGCACTTAGATACATTTGTTGAGAGTCAAAAGGCGGATGTTGAAATCAAAATTTTTTCTGCTGTTTCAGCATTGTAGAACAAATTTTCTTGTACAAAACGTGCTATTTACCTTCTGTTTGATTTTGCACTAAAGATGTTTAATATTTTGTATTTTCAAAGAGTAAATTTTACATAATCGAGATTTTAACGACTGATAGGTAACATAGAGGATAGCTCTTCCAATTGAAATGTGTAACTTTTGAGTAACTTGAAATTGTTGGTTTATAATAACAGCTTATTTCGTAGACAATTGAATGTTCTATAGTAATAATGAGTTAAATAAAACCGTTCCAAAATACAAGTTGCACATACTAAGAATTGTGCCAAATCCCCTATTTTGTTTTGAATTCATTCAAAAATTTTCTCATAGTCGACCTAGATTTATGTCAAAAGAAAACTCTGATACAATCTGACTACTTTTAACTCTCAACAATAGCTTGTAAATATCTTAAATGTGAGTGAACATTTTGTAACAAGACTTTCGTGCTATAGGCTACTATATGACTCCACAGTTGATATTGAAGAACAATAAAATGACATTCCTCAATGCCATTGAGTATTGAACGACAGAGATTTAATTGAGTTGAAGTAATTTGATTTATGATATTGAATGTTTTCAGAGTAAAAATGTGGTTATATAATTTTCTAATTATAGTACTTTAAGTCTCAATAAAACTTGTTTATTAAGATTGTCATGAGTCGTCTAGCTATCGAAAGAGATTATCTAAGTATTTAATGCAATAAATAGCTCCTAGATTAAGATTGACAAATATCTTATTGAATTATATTAAATTCTATGACCAATGTGTCAGTATATAAATAATAATAAGAAAGTGAAGTGTTTTCTTTTCGGTAGAATAAATGATTTTCATTTCAATGAAAGACTTGATAAATATAAAGTGAAGAAAGATTGGTTGATGCAATAATTCGTTGAAACTATCGAAAGATTATTCAAATTAAAAGTAAACAAATGTAAATTATATTTATATTTTATTGGGTTTGGTCTACATATTATTTCTCTATATTTATAATAGAATATTCGATCCATAAATCTTATTTTTTGAACTTTATGTTATTCAAACGTTTCGACTGAGATACATTTATTTTAATAATAATTCGAACATTCGGTCTTTTCTGTAAAAATAGAACAAATGTATGATGGAATTCTTTTTTGTAGCAAATATTTCTGTGTAATCTGTTTAGTTGAAATCAGCGCTAGGTCTTTTGATGTCGAATTAGTTTAATCAAACTATGATTTTTCTCAACAAGCACACAAAAATGGCTTCAGAAAACTTCATTTGTGACGATTGTCTAGATATATTGTAGAAAAAAAATTATTTTTTTTTTATTTATGAAGCGTTACATTATTGTCATAGTGAGAAGGAAGTGTAGAAGTAAATAAATCATGAGATAATCATAATAGTTATTCTATGCCTCAAGACAAATCGTGAAAAGCATTGTTAGTAACCTTGCTAATATGTTAAAATCTTAAAATTGTTTGTTGTTTTTGTAATATTTTAGCCCACAAATATTGACTCATGTTTTTCTTTATATAGACAACTTGCTGAATAAGTTATGTTTCAATAACAAGCATACACTTTTGTTTGTAGAATGGTGAAGCATGGAAAGACACTAGACATAATATGACAGTGATCTATAGTCATTGAAATAATAGAGTGAAATGTTTATGATACATAAATGATATTATTAGATGATTTTACTAATTGAGATTATACTCTATTTCAATATTTTCAAACCATTTTTTAAACTACCAGGAGATCTATTGGTTTCGTAATATTTTCATAAACTATTTTTGTATTATTCTTCATAGTAATAAACTTTCAATAACAGATTTGATCATGATCTTCTATATTGTATTGAAATTTAAACTATAACAAGGCAAAATAAATCCAAATATTTATGTTCATGATATGACGAAAGTCTTTGAATTCATATTATAAAATATTTCTATTGATTTCTTTGACTTTTTGCATTAAAATATTAAATTTATTTCGATTACTTTAATATTTTCAGTCTTATAATGTCATTCATGAAGTGTTATCGTTGCTAAATTTGTGTATTAATTGATTGTTATCATAGTTTTCGGTATTCTCTACTTGTTGATTAAAATATTGAATAGCTTTTATGCTCATTCATCTAATCGAAATGTTGCTTCGTCAAATGCGACCAATTATACTTTGTTAACTAGTAATTGAGATATTCGCGTAATTCAACCAATGCTTATTCTTCTCTTACTCTTCTTATTTAAATGAAATTCCATATCCATTCAAGTCAATACTTCAAACTCGTCAACTATATGAGTTGAAGTATCGAAACAATTAATTAACTTTTGTACAATCAGAAAGTGTATAGTCATATATTACTCT